GCCTCGATTGCGGTGGTTCCCGCTCTCCGTCGCTCTACATCGCGACGCGTACAGGTGACGTCAGTCATGAGTACGTCAGGGCTGAACCAGCCCATGCGCAAAAACACTACGTCGTGCCGCTCTGCATGCCGCTCTACATCCCCCCCTTGAATATCCGCCTTCAACGTTGTCTCTTTCGCTCACTTCTTCCCGCTCATTGTGGCAGGAGGCGTTGCTTTAGGGTCCGTCGGCACATCCGGCCACCTTCCAGGACCAGCGACCGGGAACGCGCGCAACCAGTGCCTCATCAAGGACAGCGTCACCAAAATCTACAAGGGCCGCTCTGCAACAATTTCCGGGCATGTTCGGATTGTGCCCAGGTTGTTCGCGGACCCCACTGTGTCAGCGGCCCCGCCCGTGGGGTAGCTTCAGGTGTTAGTTGTCCGACGCAACGTTCACATTTGCTGCGTTTGAACAAGGCCCCGAGCTTCCTGGGACTGTGCCCCGAGAGCCTTGGGAGAAGCGAGCGGGGAACAGGCATCCAGCGACTGCGTCGCCAGTGCCGAGCGGGGCTGCAGCGTAGAGCGCGATGACTGGGGCGCCCAGCTGGGAGCCGTGGGACGATGCTGTCGCCAACGTCGGCCCCTAGTAGCCATCGTGGCTCCTACATGTCCGCCCTTCGGTCATTGGGCGACGTTCATCTGCGAGCGGGTCTACCGCAATTGGCAGCGTTCCTACGAGGACGCGGCCCCACGCGGCCGATTCTGCGGCCACCTAGCTCGATTGAAATTCGAGTTGGGCGGCTACTTCCCCAACGAGCAGCCTCGGCCATCGCGGTCGTGCGCCGGGCCGCCCCTGCCAAAAGTGCTGGCAGGGCCGAGCGCGGGCGAGATCGTTTTCGACCGGCGCCAGCTTCGGCTGCGGCGCCGCCGCGGAGGCATGTTGAAGAAGATCGCTGGGCTGGTTTCCAACGTTCTTGATCCTCGAGCAGTTCTCCGTCCTCCGCTGCCCAGGCCAGCGCGCGCGTCCGCGTCGAGGGCCACGTAAGCTTCGTCGCCCAGATTTGGCCGCGGAAGATGGCCGGGCGACTCGCCCAGGGCATGGATTTACGTCGCCGTCTTCGGCGTCCGCATCTCGCGAACTGCGTTCACGAATGCGGTGTCCGATCAGCGTGGTTCCTAGCCGTGGCTACCGGCGCCCCTGAGAGGGAGATCGGGCGCGAAGTTGCAGCCGAGCGCGCGCGCTGCGAATGTCAGGCGTGCAAGCGCATCGCGCGGGCGGCCTCGCCCGTGCGTTCCAGTCATCCAGTGGCGCGCCGCTACCCTCGCAGCGCGCCGACCCACTGGGTGCGCCCCTGTCGCGAGGAAAGTGGTGCGCGATCACCCCGCGCGCAGTTGCGTATTTGGCAGGCGCGCGTTCGCGGGCCGCTGCGCCCCGCCGCGCCCGCGCGCCGGCCAGCGCCCGCGAGCGCCGGCGCGACCTGGGGGGCCGTGTCGCTTCAGCGATCAGCAAGCTCCGCAGGAGGGTCAGGAGCCAGGTCATCACCCAGCGCTGGCGCTTAGGGTGCCAGTTCGGGCGGCTTTGTCGCGTGATCGGGGATCCGAGCTAGGGGAATTGGTTCTCGCGATTGCGTCGCTCAACTACGGATCCAAGCTAGTCCAGCATCGGGCCGGGCCTCGTCGAGAAGCACCGCGAGCTGCCGACGCAGCCGCAAGCGCCCCGACTCCCTCAGACTGATCTCGCTTCGACGCCGCAACCTCCGAGCACTTCGCAGCGACTAGCATGAGATGCGCATGCGGTAGCTTCGCAAGCTGCGCCTGGTGGCGCGCCGCCGAGAAAGAGATGGCGCGCGCGCGATACGAACAGCCAACATAGCACAGGACATCCTCAACTTCACCACCGAGGCGGTCAAGAACTGCAGGGGGCGTCGCAAGCAGCTGCCGCCGGCGCCCCAGGCCATCCCTGCACTCCGCCTGCCGACGCGTCTCAACCAGCACGTTGGGTGCGACATGCTGTTCAGCAGGGATCGCGCGATCCCCCGCCTGATCTGTTGCGCCAGACGTGCGTAGATGCTCCGGGTGTTGCGTCCAAGCACGATTCGACGCTGCTTGCTGCCGTCGACCGCTGGTGGATCCAGCTGCTTGGATCGATTGAGACCTTCGTCGTGGGAGGCGAGGGCGGGGTGACGTCAGCGAACCTCGCGGGCGAGATGAAGAGGAGACGAGGACAGGCAGACATTCGCGCCCCGCGCCAGCGCGCGCGTTTCGTCGGGCCACGCGGGGCCACGCCGCGACAGGCACTTCGCGTCGCGGAGGAGCAGCTGGACTGCGAAGGCATCGCAGCGAACTGAGACCCCATGCTAGCAAGCGCCATCTTCGCCGGCGATAGCCCCGCCCACGTGGGCGGCGTTGCGCCGTGCAACATAGCTTTCGGGCGGCGGCCGCCCATGCTGCCGCCGCTCGGCACCCGGCGACTGCGTCGCTGTCGCGGGGCCGCCCGCCGCGGACGGGCGGAGACGTGCAGTCCGGCAGACCGCGGCGGTGCATCCGAGAGATGGCCTTGGAACGCGTGGCCGAAAGCCACATCGATCGCGCGCGTCTTCCGCGCCCTCGGGACCCTCGCCACCGAGTCCGGGGATGGCCGCTTCAACGTTGGCGACCAGGTGGAGGTCCACGGGCCGCCAAGCACCATGGAAGCGTCAGGCTGGGCGGGCCCTGGGACAGTCGCGTCTGTGGACCCAGCTCGAGGCAGGGTGGCGGAGTATCGCCGGGCCGAGATGGTCTGCAGACAGACGTCCAGGCCTTCATCGGTGTCGTTCTCGAGGAGATGGGCATCGGCATGGCGCGGGCAGGCCTGGCCTGGGACCGCGTAAAGGACAGACTACCTGGAGCACATGGGAAGGGCGTGCAGCTTACCGAGCAGACGTGACAACTCCCAGACGTCCTCGAAGGCCTTCAGCATGTGCTCCGCATATGTATTCAGCTACCAGACGCGTAAGCTGCGCGACTCATGCGCGGACGGAAATCTGTTGGCAATTGGCCCTTCCGCGCCCGCAGCTCGGCGCCTGGTGATTCTCTCGGGGCCCTGCCGACGTCCAGTAGATCAAACTCAACGGCGTCGCGTTTGACGCCCGCCAGGTCATCGGCGAGCATTGAAAGAATGCTCGCGTCATCTAGTTTATGTTTGTCTGTGAGCTGTTACTGGCAAATGACGCCAGACTGGACCTGTGCGGAACGTTCGATGACTGGGTCATCGTTGATCCCGGGGACACCCGACGGTGAATCACCGTCGGCCGTGTCGGTTATGCCAGAGAAGACCAGCGGTTTCCCGCCGCGTCCGACAGGTGATGTCAGCAGCCTGGCGCCAAGTCGAGGGGGCAGAAGATTCGGCCCAGCTGCTGCGGGGGCTGGAGGGCGCAGACCGCCGGCAGAAGATCTCCGCCGTCGTCGAGCAAGCCGCGGCCGACCTAGGCCGCAGTCCACGCGAGTGGCCCCGGCGCCTCAAGACGCAGCGCCAGCGCCAGAGCATCCGCGCGAAGTGCCGCAACTACCTGCGCGGGGCCTCTTTGAGCGACCACGCCGCGCGAGAGGGGGGGGGGGCGTTGTTGGTGGACGCGTGGAATCGCGCCTGGATGTGGGGGCGCGCAAAGCAATCGTGAGCTTCAACGAGGCTACGTCTTGCGACTGTCGCGGGCGCTCCGTAGACTGCTGTGCCCGGCGACTGCGTCGCCGGCGCTCTTCGGGCAGCTGCGCTGAACATGTGTGCTGCCGTCGGGACCGCGGGCGTCAAACGCGACGCCGACTTTCTGTCCGAAGAGGAAGTGTCGAGTCTGTCGAAGAAGGTCGCAGCAGCCGCCCACGGGGATCTCACCATCTGAGTCGAATGCAACTGTTCCGAGGGGCGGCCACTCAAAGGCGCCCGAAACGCGATGGACTCCGGACGCGTGATCAAGTGCAAGCACCGGGAAGGATCGGACGGCGAGACTGTCAGGATCACTTGGTGCCGCGTGGCACAGAGGGGCATCCGCGACATGGGCGCCTGGGCCCTGCAGACGTTCGCCGGGGCAGCGAAGCGGGCGCCATGGCGCCGTCTGTCCTCGGAGGCGGCGCGTCGCCCCCACTGGGCGCTCGTCGCCGCTGGCG